GCGCCTGATAGTAACTTCTCGTCAGTAACTATTCCGTATTTGAAGTTTTAATATTTGATGGCGGCAGCTTGTAGCCGGATATTCAGTATTTAGTTCTTAGCATCTGATATTGCAAGGTTTTTTCACTGGCATATCGTATGTGGTATCTATAGTATATCGAATATATGGTATTTAGTATTTCGATCAGCTAGCTATTTCTGTTATCTGGTGTCTAATATCTAGTATTTGGCACCTGGTGTGTAGTACATGGTATCTGGTATCTAGTATGTGGTATCTAATATTTAGTATTTCTATTATCTGGTATCGTGTATCTAATATCTGGCACTTATGTGGCGTCTATTATGTGGTAACTAGTATGTGGTATCTAGTGTCTAGTATCTACTATCTAGTATCTAGTATCTTCCCTCTAGTATCTGCTATCTACTAGCTTGTATCTAGTATCTAGTATGTGTTATCTAGTATCGTCTATCTAATATCTGGCAGCTGGTATATATGGTATCTACTATGTGTTATCTATAGTATCTTCTATCTTGTATCTTGTATCTAGTATCTAGTTTGTGTTATCTAGTATCTTCTATCTAGTATCTGCTATCTTCCCTCTAGTATCTGCTATCGTCTATCTAGTATCCGGCAGCTGGTATATGGTATCTACTATGTGTTATCTAGTATCATCTATCTAATATCTGGCAGCTGGTATATGGTATCTACTATGTGTTATCTATAGTATCAGGAGTTAATGAAGACAAACTGTCAGACAAGTTGTCTTCATTAACTCCTGATAGTATCTCTATCTTGTATCTAGTATCTAATATCTAGCGCCTGCATCTGGTATTGGCAAGCTGCCGTATTGACCGGGTCGTGCGGCAGACACGAGTTCTTCTTTACGAGACCGACTGCTTTCCCGTCACGACGCAAAAAAACAACCAGCCGAGAAAGAAATGCGTCTTTTCCATTTCGCCGCACGCCACTCTGCCGCACGCCATCTCATTGCTTCGATATTTGCGCGGTCGCTTTCTGCGATCTCTCTTCGATAGATTCAGCTGCTGCTGCTGCTGCTGCTGCTGCTATACTGCTGCTGCTGCTGCTACTGCTGCTGCTACCCATCTCCATCGTCATCGTCGTCGACTGCGTATTAAATTCGTTTCTGCGGCGCGCCTGTTTGACTGATCGTCATCATCGTCGTCGTCGTCGTTGTCGTCGTCGTCGTCGCCGACTGCGTATTAAATTCGTTTCTATGCGTGTTTGACGGTGTACGCAGTAGCGAGCGAGCGAGCACGGGTACCCTTGCTGCATCCCTAATCGGTCTGAGTCTGCCGTCGCCGCGTCGCAGCGTATGAAAACATCGTTTGTAACTGCCGGGTAATGACACCCACTAGATGAGAGCGGTCGCCAGCAAAAACCAACCACTACAGTTCTTCTGCCGGTTAAACCGCTCTAGCTTTTTTCGGAGGGCCGTTTTCGAACGAAATGAATGTTCGTTCGGCTCTGTCGTTCGAAACGTAGTCGATTCGCGCAGGAATGTTTGTCGAAGAGTTTTTAATACGTCGTCGGACGTCGGCCGGTCTCTCGATGATTACGAAACGTCGGCAGGATTCTGTGCGGCGTTGGAAAATTCTTCAGGATTGTCTGTATTATTATTATGATTTCTGTTTTTTCTTATTGGATTAAATTACCTCGGATATGAATTCTAAGCGCATTCGTGCCGCGACGTGACGTCACGCATAACGCATGCCGTTGTGACGGCTCTAGTCTCCCCTCTTCTCTCCGCTTCTCCTCTCCTCTCCTCTCCTCTCCTCTCCTTTTCTACACTATTCTATCCTTCTCTACTCCTTAAATTCCCCCTCTGTAAGCTCCCCTCCTGCCAGCTCCCCCTTCTCGTCCTCTTCTTCCCTTTCCTCTTCAGAGAGAGAGAGAGAGAGAGAGAAAGAGAGAGAGAGAAAGAGAAAGAAAGAGAGAGACAACGAGGGAGAGTAAGTGTGAGCGAGCGAGAGAGAGAGAGGGAGGGAGGAGAGAGAGCGCGAAGGGAAGAGAGAGAGAGAAAGAGAAAGAAAGAGAGAGACAACGAGAGGAGATAGTTGTGAGGCGAGGCGAGAGAGAGAGGAGCGAGAGAGAGGAGCGAGAGGCGGGAGAGAGAGGAGAGAGAGAAAGCGAGAGAGAGAGAGAGAGAGAGAGAGTAAAGAAGAGAGATGAACAACGAGGGAGAAGTGAGTGTGGGCGAGCGAGAAGAGAGGGAGAGAGAGAGAAGAGGCGCGAAGGGAAAGGGAGCGAGAGCGAGAGAGAGAGAGAGAGAGAGAGAAAGAGAAAGAGGACAAGAGAGAGCAACGAGGAGAGTGATGTGAGCGAGCGAGGAGATGAGGGAGAGAGAGAGAGCGCGAAAGGGAAGAGAGAAGCGAGAGCGCAGAGAGAGAGAGAGCGAGAGAGAAGAGAAAGAAGAGAGAGACAACGAGGGAGAGGAGTGTGAGCGAGCGAGAGAGAGGGAGAGAGAGAGAGGCGCGAAGGAAGAGAGAGCGAGAAGCGAACGAGAGAGAGAGAGAGAGCGAGAGCGAGAGAGAGAGAGAGAGAGAAAAGAGAAAGAAAGAGAGAGACAACGAGGGAGAGTGATGGTGAGGAAAGAGAGAGAGAGAGAGAGAGAGAGAGAGAGAGAGAGAGAGCGAAGAGAGAGAGAGAGAGAGAGAGAGCGAGAGAGAGAGAGGCGAGAGAGAGAGAGAGAGAAGAGAGAGAGAGAGAGCGAGAGAGAGAAGAGAGAGAGAAGAGAGAGAGAAAGAGAGAGAGAGAGAGAGAGAGAGAGAGCGAGGAGAGCACGAGAGGGGAGAGAGAGCGATTTTGTGTTGTCAAATGCTACCAAATTACAATGGCTATACATGTGGCACGTTTGACATTATGAGTATTTGGGCAGATATAGCATAATTATGTTCTGTTGTGATGTGGCGATACCAAGCAGCTCGTAGTAAAGAAAATAAGAGATAGGGACGGGGGAACATAGAGTTGACGCCCTTCCGCAGGCCGCCCGTCCACCCCTAGGCAGTCATAAACATGCCCTCCGAATGCACGCGACCCAAACTGGGCATGCAGTGCATCATTCGTAAACTCAGGCTACCACTGGCCACAATGCTATGCAATATTTTTACAGTGGGGCGGAGCTCGGGGAAAATCCAGCGAATTTGAGATTCGTAAACAAGCGCATGAATTTGAAGAGTAAATGGGCGCCAATACGTACCTGATTTTCGTATGCACTATTTTTAATCAAATTTTTCATTAAATAATTGTTTGATTTTTAATCCTTTTGCAACTTTATTAAGTCAAATTCTTATTAGCATAGGATACGAAGTAGATCGTAGCTGCCCCTGTAAAAACGTGGTAGTAAAAAAAGTTACAAATTATAACGGAAAATCTGCTTGTGGGCAGTGGTGCTGAGAAGAGTCTGGTACTATCTAATATGGCCGCACCGTACCATCGCCTACTCCACTAAACGGTCTAGGGAGTCGCTAAACACCTAACACCCCCTAACCGCGAACCGCCGAACCCTAACCTAACCATAATCAAATAGTTAGCAGGGTACGTTCCAGCGTATAGCCGGGACGACGTCCCAGGGTAACGTTCCTGCAGTACCCCTGGGGGACATATGAGCCCTATGAGCGGCAGTGGTAGATTGAGCCGCATAGCCAGAGCGACGCATTCTGTCGATGGAGTTTGGCACGCGACATCACTTCGCGCTACAGTCATGAAACAATCGGGGGGGGGGCGGCTCAATCAATCGACACCGGCCGTCCTCGCACACGCGCGTTCATCGTACGTGCTTGCAGCAAGTGCGCGTCACACGCTGGCTATCTGCAACATCCGCTGTTGATTGAACATCTCCCTTCGTTGTGAACCGCCTACACTATATTAGATTCTAACAGTGTGACTCTTCGGTGTGCGCGTATCCAGGGGGCCGGCGAGTGCTCTGACGTAATTTTGTTGGCATCCCTACGGAAGAAGTGCATGTCGGGATATGAGCTCCTCATTTATTCCACAATACCTTCATCTGGGTGCTAGAGTCTGAACGCATACAACAGTCTCTGTCTTTAAGCTCATTATATCCCGTCTGGCGTGCGAGCCAAATCCATACAATTATTATATCAGCATCCCGCCGTGCCGACATAAGTCACGCAGTGGACTGATGCGCGGGCCGCAGGGCAGCATCCTGCATGTGCGCTAGCCGTCCTGTCCTCAACCCCTCCCTCCCTGCTTCCGCCTCCCTCCCCGCCGTCGCGTGTCTCGCCCATCCGCTGCGCCGTCCGTGTCTCCTCCTCTTCGTCGTCCGCGTCTCCCCCCTCCTCCTCCCGCCGCCGTGCGTCCGTGTCTCCCCCTCCTCCTCCGCCGATCGTCCGTGTCCTCCAACATCCTCCGCCGCGTTCCGCGTCACCCCTCTCCTCCCGCCGTCGTCCGTGTCTCCCCCTCCTCCCCGCCGCGCGCCGTCGTCCGTGTCTCCCCCTCCTACCTCCGCCGTCGTCGCGTGTCTTCCCGCCTCCTCCCGCCGCCGTCCGTGCTCCCCCCCCTGCCTCCCGCTGGGCGTCGTTCCGCCGTCTCCCCCTCCTCCTCCCGCCGTCGTCCGTGTCTCCCTCCTCCGCCGTAAAGTCCGCTGTCTCCCCCATCCTCAGCCGGGCCGGTGTCCGTGTCTCCCCCTCCTCCTCCGCGCCGTCGTCCCGTGTCTCCCCCTCCTCCCGCCGCCGTCCGTGTCTCCCCCTCACTCCTCCCGCCGTCGTCCGCTGTCATCCCCCTCGTCCTCCGACCGTCGTCCGTGTCTCCGCCCTCTTCCTCCCGCGGCAGCCGTCGTCCGTGTCTCCCCCTCCTCCCTGCCGCCGTCCGTGTCTCCCGCCCTCCTCCTCTCCGCCGTCGTCCGCGTTCTCCCCCTCCCTCGCTCGCGCCCGTCGTCCGTTTGTCCCCCCCTCTTCGCCCGCCGTCGGTCCGTGTCTCGGCCCCTCGCTGACCTCTCCGCCGTCGTCCGTGTCTCCCCCTCCTCCTACCCGCCGTCGTACCGTGTCTGCGGCTGCGCTCATCCTGCACCGCCGTCGTCCGTGTCTCCCCCGATCCTCCTCCCGCCGTCGTCCGTGTCTGCCCCTCTTCCCTCCCCGTCGTCCGTGTCTCCCCCTCCTCCGCGCCGTCGTCCGTGTCTCCCCCTCTTCCTCCGTCCGTCCGTTGTCTCCCACCTCCTCACCGCCGTCGTCCCGTGTCTCCCCCTCCTCCCGCCGTCGTCCGGCGTGTCTCCGCCGGCTCCCTCACCGCCGTCGGTTCCTGTCTTGCCCCCTCCTGCCTCCCGCCGTCGCCGTGTCTCCCCTCCTCCCGCCGCTCGTCCGTTGTCTCCCCCTCCTCCTCCCGCCGTCGTCCGTGTCTCCCCCCCTCCTCCCATCGTAGCGCGTCTCCCCCCCCTGCGCTCCTCCCGTACCGCCGCCGCCGTGTCTCCCCCTCCTCCTCCGCCGTCCGTGTCTCCCGGCTCCTGCTCCCGGCCGTACCGTGTCTCGCCCCCTCCCCTCCCCGCCGTCCGTGTCTCCCCCTCCTCTCCCGCCGTCCGTGGGTCTCCGCTTTCCTCCTACTCGGCACGGCCGTCCGTGTCTCCCCTCCTCCTCCCGCCGTCGTCCGTGTCTGCTCCCGCCTCCTCTCGTCCGCCGTCCCGTGTCTCCCCCTCCTCGCTCCCGGCCGTCGTCCGTGTCTCCGCCTCCTGCTCGCCGCCGTCGCGTGTCTCGCCCTTCCTCCTCCCGCCGTCGTCCGTGTCTCCCCTCCTCTTTCCGCGCCGTCCGTGTCTCCCCTCCTACTCCCGCCGTGCGTCCGTGTCTCCCCCTCTCCCATCGATACGCGTCTCCCCCCTCGCATCCTCCCGCCGTGCGTCCGCGGTCTGACGCCCGCTCATCCCGCCGTGCCGTGTCTCCCCCTCCTCCCCGGCCGATCCGTAGTCTCCTCCTCCCATCCTCCGCCGTTCGTGTCTCGCTCCTCCTCCTCCCGCCGTCGTCGCGTGTCTCCCCTCCTCCCATCGTACGCGTCCCCCGCCTCTCGCTCCGCGCCGTCCCGTCCGCGTCCTCCCCCATCCTCCCGCCGTCCGTGTCTCTCCCCTCCTCGCCGCCGTTCGTAGTCTCCTTCCTCCTCCTCCTCCCGCCGTCGTCCGGCTCCCCCTCCTCTCGGCCGCCGTCCGTGTCTCCCCCTCCATCCTCCCCGCCGCCCGTCCCGTGTCCTCCCCTCCTCCTCTACATGTCCTCCCTCGCCCTCCTGGCCTCCCCCTACCTCCTCCCCGCGCCCGTCCGTTTGCGTCTCCTCCTCCCGCCCGCCCGTCCGGGCTCCCCCTCCCTCCCTCCCGCACGGCTTTCCGCGCGAGCGGCGGGGCGGGTGGCGGGTTGGGGGCGGGTTGGAGGAGATTTATTTATAGGCAATCGCGCTGCAACTAGTTGCGTGATTGCCGGTTGGTGTCGCTGGCCATGCGTTTTTCAACAGCTGGCAGCAGCGGCAGCAAGACGCCCGCGCAGATACCGAGAATGGAATTTCGATCTGGAGTCGTTGAAGCCAATTTAATACCCCTCCCGCCGCGCTTGCGCCCTTCCTCACCACTAGCAGCTGTTGACCTCCCCGTCCGCCGCTGCCATTCGACGTCCGCGCCGTCCGCTCCCGCTCCCGCGCCGCCGTCAGCCGCTTGCTTGACCTTTCCCCGCCCCGCCCTGCGCCCGCCCCGCCCGCCCGCCTGCTTCCCCCGACTGCCGCTGCTGGCCCCTCCCCTCGAAGCTAGCGAATGTTGCCCTTTCCCCGCTGACCTTTTTCTTCCGCAGCCACTGATACCCTTCCACGCCGCCGCCGCTACCTCCCCCGCGCTAGCCCTCCCCTCCGCCTCCGCCGCTACCCTCACCCCGCCACCGCCGCTCCTCCTGCCCTGCGTAACCGACACACGATAATGTGACTGATGCGAGGCTTTCAAACTGCGGACTGGCGCGACTTGATCAAGCAGTAAGCTGTCACTGGACGGCAGCGGGAGATAGCTCGATACGAGGCAGGCGAGAGGACGCAGACAGGAACGTGCCAGTGGGAGAAACCTTTCAGGCTGGTTTAGAGAAGGAGAAGCCTGCCTGCAGGTCGTCTGCCGCGACACAGCGCCGGTGTATCGTGGGCTATACGCTCCCCTATGGCAAATGCCCCCCCTCTGTATTGGGCAGGGAAATATAGGTCCCGAGTTATGGCGGCCACCTGTTAGACACGCGCGCCATTGCGGCTGTAGGTGAAGGGGGAGTTAATCATTGCACGCCTTATATGTTAGCTGACGACGTCTCCCCAATCTACGAAGAAATGTCTGTGGTGGTTGTTGGTGAGTGTATGGCGTGAGTGATTTGTGTGGTGGTGCTAGCGCGTGTGCGTGGTGGTGTGGTGTGGTGTGGTGGTGTGGGTGTGTGTGGTGGGGGTGTGTTTGGTGGCGTGTGCATGGTGACGCTGTGGTTAAGTGTGACTTGGCGTGTATGGGGAGAAGGCAGGGGGTTCTACTGTGGTGGGTACACACGGTAATGTAATTAATCGGATGTCAAGCTCTGCTAACGGCTTTCTGGGCTTCGTCTCTCTAAGCGGACTATTAAGCATTATAAAGGCGGCCGCCGCACCCCGCGACGACAGCGCGACCTGTGGCTGCGCTTTGATGTGCGTGGGCGGGTGCTGCGATCGAGCGAGTCAGCAGGGCCATGTGGTACTGTACCATACATACATATACATAGGACTGTTATCGCCCGCCGCCATGTGACAGCTTCGTGTGACAGCGACACCGCTGCCAATAACCCAGATGACCTCATAACCACGGGTCGTGTGGGCCTTCGGTGAGATATTCGTTACCGTTATCGAGAGCGAGAGAGAGAAAAGCGATCGTGAGCGAGGGAGGAGAGAGCGAAGCGAGAGAGGAAGATATGTAAGAAGAGAGAGAGAGAGAGAGAGAGAAGAGAGAGAGAGAGAGAGAAAGAGAAAAAAGCAGGACTGTGACGTAGATTGTGCGCTGACTGGCTTTCCACTGACATCGAGTTGTTAATGGATTAATTAGCATCGCCGTCAGACTGCCTCCCGTTCATTGCCTCGTTCACATTAATTACACCTTCAGCTTCATTCACTGGCGCCGCTAACTCCGCCCGTTCGCTGTTTTACGCATAGCCCCCCCCCCGGCCGGGGCGAATGCGTCGCCACATAAAGCTAAGTTAATTAGGGATCTTCGGCCAACAGTGTTGTCGCGCATTAAATAATCTTCAGCCCGGATTCGGCATTATGCCGCTGATAGTCACGAGTGCGCGCGGGCCGACGCCGCAGTTTTTAAGCTTACGGCTGGCTGGACGCATGAGAAGCATGCATGAGTACGGCGGTGGTTTGGTGGTTACCCGTTCGCTTATGCGCTGCTGGTGCGGTGCGGCCTTCGGCGGTGGCGGTGGTGGTGGCTGTGTGGTGGTGTTTGTGAGTCGTGGGATGTGATGGTGGTGGTGGTTGGTGGCGGCGGCGGCGGCGCGGCGGCGGCGGCGGCGGCGGCGGTGGGCGGTGGTGGTGATGCTGCAACTGCTGCTGTTGCCGATGCTGCTGCTGCTGTGCTGGTAGTGGTGGTAGTGGTGCAGGAGCGCCTCTCTGTGCAGCGTTCTCCCGTGATGATCTAGGGGCTCTCTGGTGTTAGAGTTTCCGTGGCCGTCTATAGCTGCATGGGAAGGGGAGGAAGGTGGGGGAGGAGGAGGAGGAGGAGGAGGAGGAGGAGGAGAGGAGGAGGAGGAGAAGGAAGTAATGGAGTAGGGGAGGAGGAAAACGAGGAGGGGAGGAGGAAAAGCTTCAGTCGGGTCAGCTGGGACCCTGGAGGGTGTGCGCAGGGCAAACAACGCCTGATTGCGGGCGCATCGCTGACACGGCGTTCATTCTCTATCGCTAACCGTATTCCTGATAAGATGTGACAGTGTAGAGGCTTAGCTGGCTGGCTAGACAGCTAGCTCATCAGCAAGTGATTTCACAGTGAGGCGGGGTAGTAGTAGCGGGGGTCCTCTTGTGCGGGGGTGGAGAGATGCAGGGACGGACGCGTATGTTAGCGTCATGTGAGCTTACGGTGAGGGAGTGACAGACAAGCAGTGTTGACTCGAGACCGAGCGTGTGACAGCGGGGATTGGAATGGTGGCACGTCGTACACGCTAGAGCGATTAGGTCGCGCGCTATGGAGCCGGCGTGGGATGGACGTTACACTGTGTGTGCGGTTTTAATCCATCTGTTGTCGCGTGTGATTTGCGAGTGCGTGCACGCGTATACGCGCATGTGTGCGTGCGTGCCCGCGTGTGCGCGCGTGTGTGTACGTGTGTGCGTGCGTGCGTGCTCTCGTGTACGTATGTATGTGCGTGTGTTTGCAGGCGTACGTGTGCGCGTGCGTGCGTGCGTGTCTGTGTTCGTACTAAGTCTTGCGTTGGTGTGCGTGCGCGCGTGCCGTGGGGTGCGTGCGTGTGTGAGCGTATGCAACCTGCTACACTAAAGCTGCCGGTGAGTCACACACTGATGACGTCAATGACCTGCTGCGATGCAACAAGTACGTGCTTACGTTCGTAACGTCTTCACGAGGAAGCTGCAAAAGTGACAAGGAGACATGTGTGGCGCACGCAAGCAGGCATACACGCACACGCATGCACGCACGCAGTCACACGCGCAGTCACACGCATGCACGCACGCACACACACAGGCGTGCACACACACACAAGCACACGCGCCCGCAATCACACACGCAAACACACGTATGAAAGCACACACGCAAACACACGCATGCGCAAACGCGCACGCATGGATCTACGTAAGCACGCACGCATACATACTCATGCATCCACGCAAGCACTCACGCAAACACATGCACGTAGGCACACACAAAACAGGTACACGCGTAGATACGTACACACACATACGCACGCACGCACGCACGCACGCACACACACACAGACCCCCCCCCCCCACACACACGCACACACACAGCGATGTTTAGCATACCGCTTGACCCCATCATGCTCGACCTCGCCGCGTCATCGTCATGTGACGTCACGGTAGAGCAGCCGACCGTAGCCAATCTACGAATATCCATTAATTGATTCCGATCCGATGCCATTTTTTAATGGCGCGCAGCACGATGGGACGCGAATTGCGCACAACATGGCATTGAGTTATATTATCGAATTTGAAATGTGAATGAGTCTTGCGCACGCATTAGCGGTAAGAGCGACTGAACACTGGCAGAATTTTAACGGCACCCGAGTGTTCCATTGTGTGCTGCTTCGTTCAGAGCTTGCGTAAGATTTAACTCCAACCCCCCCTCCCCACCCCCCACCCCGCGCGCGCCCATACACTATATAATACATAATTTAGCTAATTGATCTAAATAAACAGACGAAATGTGCGGAAAGCGTGGCCGCTCGGATCAGCGTGCTTGATCTGTGAAGCCCTCCTTATTGACGTTGACAATAGGGCAGCAGTAGTGGTAGTAGCAGCCGCAGCAGCAGCAGCAGCAGCAGTAGTACCACCAGCAGCATTAGCAGCAGTAGTAGCAGCGACAGTAGCATCACCAGCACCGCCAGCAGTAGCAGTAGCAGCAGTAGTGGTAGTTGCAGCGGCAGCACCGCATTACCAGCACCAGCAGCAGTAGCAGCAGTAGTACCACCAGCAGCATTAGCAGTAGTAGTAGCAGCAGCAGTAGCAGCAGCAGTAGCAGCAGCAGTAGCAGTAGCAGCAGTAGTGGTAGTTGCAGCGGCAGCAGCAGCATTACCAGCACCAGCAGCAGTAGCAGCAGTAGTACCACCAGCAGCATTAGCAGCAGTAGTAGCAGCAACAGTAGCATCACAAGCACCACGCAAAAAATCAGTAGTTGGGGGCAGCATGCACCCAGCAACCGACCAACAGTAGTTGGTACAGCATCACCAGCAGCCACCCACAGTAGTTGCAGCACTCAGCCAGCACGCAGCCAACAGTAGTTTGCAGCATCAACCACACCACCAACAGTAGTGCAGCATGCACCAAGCACGCACCAAACAGTATTGCAGGCATCACGCAGCAGCACAGTAGCAGCAGTATAGTACCACCTAGCAGCATTAGGCAGCAAGTAGGGAGTAAGTAGCAGTAGTAAGTTGCACGCAGTAGCAACAGGCAGCAGGCAGCAGCTTCAGCGTCCCCCATGAGACGTTTCAACTGTCCGTGTGAGTGTGAATGCCGTGGTTCACTACCAGCAACGCGGCTTAACAATGGCACGACTCCACCCTCTACTCTCATGCTCATCCATTCTCCACCCACCCCGCACCCCCCGCCCCCCCCCCACGCCCCCCCCCCCTTCTCTTCTTTCCCAGCATCAGTGCACGTCGAGTGGAAATGTAAATGTTATAGCGTGAGACGCATGGCATGTTTCTCGGTGTGGTGTGGTGCGTGCGTGCGGCGCGTGCGTGCGTGCGTTCGTGCGTTCGTGCGTGGTGTGCGTGCGTGCGTTGCGTGTGTGTGTGTGTGCGTAGCGTGGCGTGCGCGTGGCGTGCGTGCGTTCGTGCGTGCGTGCGTGCGTTCGTGTGTATGTATGTATTCGCGGCGCAGCCGTGCGTGCGTGCGTGGCGCGCTAGTGTTGTTGTGTGTGTGGAGTGTTATGTGTGTGTGTGTGCGTGTGCGCGCGCCAGCGCGTGTCTCTCGTAGGGCGGGTGCATGCAAGCATGCAGCGCAAACAATTTCTCATCGTACATCCGACATGTCCAACAGCGCGGCAAATCTATTGCTGCATGCATAAATCATATCATCTCTCTCGGCTCCTACACGGCCATATATATGTATATATATATATATATATATAATATATATATATATAGCTTGTAAGAGCGTTCGCGCGCACAGCAATATGTTGTGGGGTAGCGGCGAAATCAGCGTCGGTGATTTACATTTAGACTAGATGGCTTAGTGTGCACAGCTCGCTCACCACATCACACACACACACACACACACACACACACACACACACACACACACACACACACACGCACACGCCGCCCGCTGGCTCTGATCGTCAGCTACATCGTTGCCATGGCTGCTGCTGCCGCTCCTATTCCCAGCGCGATATTGCCGAACATCAGGTGTTCCAGCTTCACGTCGTGACGGGGCCGCCGGTGAAGCCATGTCGGTGATGTGATCACAGCGGGAGATGCTGATGGGGAGGGAGAGTGCGATGAGGGATGAGACGGATGAAATGGCTTCAGTGAATGCCTGCACGCGTGACGGCGTGACGGCGGCAGCGACAGCGGCGGGATGATGGTCGGGTTACTGTCATATCGGCGCTCGCGCTCGCTCGCCGGTCACGTCATCGCTACGTCACGGCTACAAATCGAGTTTCGACTTCGTCGATGTTTTAGCGCGGACTATCGCGTAATTGGGTTTACAGGCAGGCAGGCTGGCAGGCAGGCAGGCAGGCAGGCAGGCTGGCAGGCAGGCTGGCAGGCAAGCGGGCGGACAGGCAGGCATGCTGACAGGCAGGCTGGCAGGTATGCAGGCATGCAGGCGGGCGGGCGGGCACACAGGCATGCAGGCAGGCAGGCAGGCAGGCAGCTCGTTCGAGTAAGCTAGTGGCTTTATCTTCCCCTAAGCAAAGTTTATTTTGCCTCTCCCTCCCCTATACATCCCCGTTACATCCCATATTCCGCAGGGCGCCACACAGCCCTTTATAACGCTTTCCACCTACAGACAGACGTGCGCTATACCGTGGTAGACATCCCCCTTGTGGCTAACGTCCGTCCCCCCACATAATCACTGTGCATGCGCATAGACGTGTTCACCATGGCGCGCGGCGAATTTGATTGGCGCGTGGGGATTGACCTTCACCTACGCAGTGTATGAGGGGGGCGATCGTGATAGGGGGGATGTGTGCCACGCTGCACGAGCACAGGCGCGCGGGCGTGTGCGTCTGACAGCTAACTACGTAGTGGCTTGTTGTGTCGCTGTGGCCGCGAGGCTCGTGGGCGATTCTACCGTCACGTGCAGCTGTCTAATGTGTGGCCAAGAGAACGAAGTGCTGCGCCACTTAAGGTCGTTGGTATGACCTGCGCGCGTCTGAGAGAGAGAGAGAGAGAAAGAGTGAGTGAGTGAGTGAGAGAGAGAGAGAGAGAGAGAGAG